AGGGTGTCGAACGAGGCTTATGCAGTTAGTGCTTAGATCGATATTAACATTAATGGTACTAAATAACATTATTAATTTGTCTAATTGTAACGGACGAACATTCGACAATCGAACTCTTATCTTGCATATTGACTGACTGAGGAACATTATGTTCGAATCATATTCGAGCCAAAATTTTAGACAGGCTTTGATGGTATTATGATATCAAGATTTTAATTTCTTCTCNTTTTTTTTTTTTTTTTTAGTTCTTTGTGCTTAAAGTTAGTTTTCTTGAAAATAAGTTTACACTTTCTTCAAAAGTAAGTAACTTGGAACTAATGTTTGTCAAAATAAGTAAATTAGTTTGATAAATTTTTAAGCTCGGCCAAACACGCTCCTTTGCAAAAGGGATTTTATAGCCTTGTCTATCTCACCTTCTTTTATTTACTAATAAAATGCATGCCATGCTTCTATACTTTTAATTTTGTCAATTGTTAGATTTCCTATTTGCCATTTGGATTTGTTGGTTGTGGCTGATACTCCACAAACCATAAGAAAGATAGTCACAAAGGCTTTTCATTTTATCGATTTTGTCTTTTTATGTCATTTAATTGATTTTTGGTGAGTTCTTCTCGTGTGAAACTTTAACTGTAATTAATTCTTGAACGGGTGTTTTTCTTGCAATGAAATTCAATGTTTGATGATTTTTCTAGTATCTATCGAGCATTACATTTGCATGTAGCTGGAAAGGATCACAATCGTTCACTTCAATTTTTTCACATTTATCCTAATATGCACCAATTGCTTTAATCGATAATCTAATTAATTTTTGAATTAGAAAATCACTAACTGCTACATGTATATCACGTAGATGACTACGATAATATGTGATTGCAAATAACATTATTCTTATATAAAACATGGTACAAATGTTATACTATCCATTTGAAATTATTGCAATTCGTAGCATCGAATGGAGAGAATATATAGATACTTCCGTTCCATGTCAAGTACTCACTTCGACAACTCACATGAATGTTTTATGGTAAAACCTTATTCAAATTTTCACCATTTGAGTGTGTTTTCCGTTGTTTTTTATAGTCACAAAAACTCACGTCTTAATCTTTCAAGATAGTGAATTTCAATAGATACACAATTAATATTTACTTAAATTTTCCCAAACAAAAGCGGACCATCTATAATCTAAGCGCCATAAACATGATGGAGGTTTACAAAAAAGTGATTTTTTTTCTAAAGAATATGTAATTAAAAAGTAGAAAAATTTATGTATATTAGTGTAAAATTAGCCATTGTTTGTTTACCATTCTTTCAAAATTCTTTTTTCATTCGTAAAAATGTTTTTCCAAAAAAAGGCCACCAAATAGATTGAAACACGTGTGATTGAAAATGAGTTTTTAAAAAATAAGTTTTCATTTTCCGTATCAAACGTGGACTTATAATACTGAAAAACGCCAGATGTGCATAATTTTTACTACACGATATTCCCTCGATTACACCGCCAACTATTCGACCCTTAAAGCCTTTTCTCTCCTATATTCACACGGAAAATTCTACTTGTACAACCTTGGTTGACAACCTTTCACATGTGTGTGGGGTCCGCATGTTTAAAAAATTCAAAAAAATAAAAAGTGAACACACACATGTGAGTGGTTGTCAACCTCGATTATACACGTAGCATAGCTATATTCACACTTTCCAATTTCCCATCACCAAAACTCCAAACTCGTCGGAGATGACGAATTACGGCGCGATTCCGACATCTTCATTTGTGCCAGCCACCACGGCTTCAAAAATCGAGTACCTAACATGTGCCAAAACAATGTTTGTTTTTCAAATCCTCAACTTTTTCATATAATGCAATTTAGTCCTTGTACTTTAGATTTTGTCATTTTTCTCTACCTCTTCCTTCTTTCCTTCAATTCCATTTTCATTCATAGAATTTCACCAATTAAATATAAAATACAACAATTTAGAATATGTTTTACCAAAAGAACAATCAAATCTCGTTATTTTAGGTCCGAATAAATGTATAAAATATACTTTATCATTGTGCAATAACTCTTATTTTTTACGCTACTGCAAGATATCTGACATGATTATAGACTGCATGCATGGACCAATAGTCCTATACTATAAACTTCCCCGATGAACTAATTGGTCTTTTCCAAATTGAACCTCAAGTAATTTTCATGAATTACCAACCTCCCCTCCATCCCTCCCTCCCTCCCTACTTCTCTCTCTTAATGGGCCATTATGCTTTCTTACTAACTGCTTCTCAATTCCTCTTTTGCTCGTTGGGCAACTTGTAGAATAAGCAACATTTATTTGATACATTTGCAGCAGTTTACTTTAAGTGCAAATTGTAGTTTTTTATTTATGGATTCTTGATTCAGTTGTATGTCCAATGGTTGTTATAGGAGCAAGTGGAAAAAACTGCAGATGGTGCATGTTCTACTCTGTTAATCGCAAACCTCTTTTGCTCGTTGGGCAACTTGTAGTATAAGCAACATTTATTTGATACATTTGCAGCAGTTTACTTTAAGTGCAAATTGTAGTTTTTTATTTATGGATTCTTGATTCAGTTGTATGTCCAATGGTTATTATAGGAGCAAGTGGAAAAAACTGCAGATGGTGCATGTTCTACTCTGTTCATCGCAAACCTCGGTCCAAATTGCACGCAAGACGAATTGAAGCAAGTTATTTCTCAGTGAGTTGCCCCTGAAAATACCAACATTGGACTTGGGTTTTCATTCACGAGAAAGGAGAGAAAAGAGGAAAAATAATGTTGAACACTGACTAATGGGGAAGCCGCCTTCATTTTCATATAAAAGTAAATATTGCTGATGGTGGTTTTGTTACCCAGGATTTAACATCCTCGAGTTGCGGGCTACAGGTGGAATGCCAGTGGCATTTGCTCATTTTGAGATATTTTCTTGTTATTAATGCCAGTATTTTAACCATTTGTTCATGAGTAATATTATTCATCCAACTGGAGATGAAAACACAATCTATGTGACTTTAATTTCACATTTTATTTAACATAT